GAACTGGTGGATAATGAAGTTAGATATGAAAAATGCGTTAATAATCCAACTTTCAAAAATAGATTTATTATTAATGAAAATCTCGTCGGAGTTGAGAAAACTAAAGCAAAACTGAAACTGGATAAACCGATTTTCTTAGGAATGAGCATTTTAGATTTAAGCAAATTACATATGTATCAGTTTTACTATGATGTATTGAAAAAGAAGTATAATGAAAACATCAAATTGATATATACTGATACTGACAGTTATGTAATTCAAACAATGACTGATGATGTCTATAATGATTTCAATGATATAAAGCAACACATGGATTTTAGCGACTATCCTGTTGAGCATCCATGTCATGACAAAACTAATAAAAAGGTCTTAGGAATGTTTAAGGACGAATGCTCTTCAAAGATAATTACCAAATTCATAGCTCTCAAACCAAAGTCATATGCTTTTACTATCCATGGCGAGGATGATGAACATAAAAAATCAAAAGGTGTAGTGAAACATAAGGTGAAGAAAGAACTGTCGTATCAAAACTATCACGAAGCATAATTTCAAAACAAAAAGCATGAAATAACATATAATTTTATTCGTAGTCGCAACCATCAGTTATTCTCAATGTCTCAAGTTAAGCAATCTCTCAGTAATTTTGAAAATAAAACACATTACTTAGATGCCTTTACTTCGTTGCCGTATGGACATTTCAGGATAAAATAAATTAAAGAAAAGATGATTAAAGATATCAGCAGATATGGAAAGATATAAGAACGGTAAGATTTACAAAATAGTTGATGTTGGTTATGAAAAGTGTTATGTAGGAAGCACGTGTGAGGAACTAAGCCAAAGGATGGCAAGACATAGGCAGAAATATTATTTCAATGAAAGGCACGGGCGAAACAAACATTCAAATTCTAGAGTGTTGTTTGACGAATACGGAGTTGAGAATTGTAAGATAGAACTCATTGAAAACTACCCGTGTGATAGTAAAGAGCAACTACTTAGACGAGAAGGTTATCATATCCAAAATACAGAATGTGTCAATCGTTGTGTGGCAGGTAGAACGCCACAAGAATACAAAGAAATGTATAACCCACTTAACCGAGAGAAAATAAAGAACGGAATGAAAGAATGGTATCAAAACAATAAAGAAGAACATAAACAACATAGGAAAGAGTATTACCAAATAAATAGAGAACAAATTATTGAACAAAACAAGCAGAATGTAGCATGCGAAGTGTGTGGAGCAGTAGGTCGCAAAAGTAAATTAAGCAGACATCAAAAGACTAAGACGTGTCAATCAAATAAGTCAAATCATAATGTAGAAAAATAAAATATTAATATCTAAATAGTTCTAATAATACATGCACTTATTAGAACTATTTAGTGGTACTTCTTCAGTTGGTAATGTAGCAAAGTCGCTCGGTTATAATGTTATATCATTGGATTTGAAAAATGCTGATATTAATTGTGATATACTTGAATGGGACTACAAACAGTTTGACAGAAACCATTTCAATTTTATTTGGGCATCCCCTCCATGCACTGAATACAGTAGGGATAAAACAACTGGGGTTAGAAAAATAGATTATGCTAATAGTATCGTTTTAAAAACCCTGGAAATTATAGATTATTTCAAACCGACATACTGGATAATAGAAAATCCCCAAACAGGATTATTGAAGGAACAACCGTTTATGAATGGATTGAAATATTTTGATGTGGAGTCTTGTAAATATGGGTTTAATTACAGGAAACGGACTAGGCTCTGGACCAACATAACAACATGGACAAATAGACCATTATGTAAAAGGGATTGTGGGAAGGTTAGGAATGGGAAACATATTGAAACTGCTCAACGCTTACCACCAAAAACTAAGGCGGAATGGGGTGATAATCCTATCATTCATAAACAGGAAGACTTGTATAAAATACCTTCTGATTTAATTAGTGATATTTTCGGTTGTTTGCTGTCGGGGGGATGAAGCATTACAAGCAACCAGCATCACAAACAACAAGTATCATCAGAAACCAGCCATCACAAGCGACCAGCATCATCACAAACCAGCATCACCAGCAAGGGAAAGAAAACAAACAGACAAACAAACAAAGAAACAAGCCCGAACACATTGCTATTTGTGCCCCTCAACGGGGCGCATCGTGCCCCTCGGCGGGGCGCATCGTGCCCCCGTGCCCCTCGGTGGGGCGCATCGTGCCCCTGTGCCCCTCGGTGGGGCGCATTGTGCCCCTCGGTGGGGCGGTGGGGCGCATCGTGCCCCTCGGTGGGGCGCATCGTGCAGTTAAAATGTTGGTGGCTGGTTGATTGGCTCATGAGTGGCAATGAACACACCTATCTTTTTAGAAACAAAGAGTTTAAGGTAAAACAAATTCTAGAAAGATTGTTAAGTGAATACACTAAAGAATTAATCAAAGAACACAAAGAATACTATGATGAAGACGGAATGAGAGAACATATTAGCAAGAATAATAAATCTTTAGTTTATTCATAATATTTAATTATAATATGATTAAACATTGTTTTATAGTCTAACAAGAAGGTTAAGACATTTAAATTAAACCTGAAACCCAGACCAGCCGACCAGCAACCCCCTAGCCAAAACTACTTAAAGAAATATTACCTTATATATTAAGAGAAAAATGAACGGTGATGGAATCAATAATTATATCGATAAAAAATGCTATGATTGTTGTCACTTCAAAAAAGAAAATATGGAATTGTATAAATTGAGTTTACCTAATGAAATAGTGAATAATATTATTAATTATTCAATGGATGAAAAAGACGAATGTGAAAATTGTCAGGAATGGAGAGATAATCAATTTTTAATCAAATGTCTGTTGAGAATAAAAGGAAGACATAATAGAAATGTAGAAGATTATATTTTAATATTTCTAACTGTAAATAAAATACCACCTTACGATTATGTTAAACAGTTTCTTAAAATCAGTAAGAAAAATATGACATGATTTATGATATATTATGGATGTTGGGTTATAGTCAAGAGAAAGGAGAAGATGTTAAAGAAAATATCAAATTATTTATTGAAAGTAAAAAGTTTAATGTTCAGAATACAGTGAGAGATGTTAATATTATTTTTAAAATGATGTATGAAAGAAGTAAGACAAACCAATTAGATTATTATCCTGAACTGAAATTATGATCATAATATAATAATAACATGTAAAATCTTATATGTTATAATTATACTGAACTTTTAACCTATAAATGAAAATTAATGAGAACAATACTAACAAAACAAATACACCACCAACACCCCAGAACTTGAGAACTACTAAAAGGGCTACCTCTTTCAAATGAAAAAAATGTCGGCCCCCAGCCCAACAATGAACAAGGCGACAATTTACCCAAGTGATTACCTTAACGAAAACGATAAATAAGCTCCCTAAAAACCCTCTTTTAAAAACGAATAAGGTGGTTAATAGGTTTGAGATGAATATAACAAACATAACAGGGGACCATCAACAGACCACCCCCCAGGCCCCCTACTTTCTCCATTTTTTAGGGGGGGGGGGGGAGGAGGGGGGGGAGGAGGAGGGGGGGGGAGGAGGGGGGGGAGGAGGGGGGGGAGGAGGGGGGGAGGAGGGGGGGAGGAGGGGGGGAGGGGGGGGGGGAGGAGGGGGGGGAGGGGGGGGGGGGAAAGGGGGGGGGGGTCTCTAAATCATTGATGTGTTTCAATCTTTTCGGCTCAAATAGTCTCCATGACCCTAAAAACATGGGGTCATTGCCCAAAACAATATGATCATTGACCCTAAAAGTGGTCGTGGAGACTCTAGGTACTTTTTCACCCGGAAAAAAAGCTCTTCTTCACCCGGAAAACGTTGATATACCGTGGATGGTTGCGAAATCCATTTCGCAACCACCTAAAGAACCCTGGAATGATACACTTCCCCCATAAAGACCAGCGAACAATGGTTTCCAATGGTTTCAAAGTGGTGTAGGATTCTGTCCATCCACGGTATCAACAGCCCAAAGTCGCGTACATTTATGCACCCCCTCGCCATCCGTACATTAAAGAAGGTGGGGGGGGGGGTGATACGTAAATCCAGAGAAATACAACTCGACGGGACTACTTCTTCAGAAATTGGAAATAATAAGACCAGCATCCACTAGGGACCCTGAAACCATGAAGACCCACATGGGGATTTATGTCCAATGAACCAAGGGTGTTCTACATGAACAAGTCATAGCCATATGACCAGCAGTGCTTCTTGGAAGGTACTGCCGCTGCCATGCATGTTCACACGCACATACCGACGCGTACGCCGTGTTCAAGAGTGCCTGCGCCCGTCTACACGGCTTGAGCTTAATCAATACGAGGCGCCTAGGCAGCCATGTTGTACGAAGCTGATACCGTTGGACAACTTTGTGGGCGATGAGTTCCCACATTTCGATCCAACGCAAGCTCCTTAGCTCCCAAGGTAATCTTGGCAGCCAGGAGATCCAAAGACAAGATACAACCACCCAACTACCAATTGCCGGGTCAATCCGCAACGCCTGTGTAGCAAGAGTTCGACCAAAAGACTCCAAACGGCCAAACATCATGTTGATTCAGCTGGTTCATGAATTTCCGATCAAAATCGGATATTGTAAGGAATCGCAAGGGGAGCGCCAGAAAACACCACAATATTCCATTGGGTAGGGAAGCAGGTAAACATTCCACACGGAATGTGATGCTTCCTGTTCGAAAGCTTTCCCAAAACAGACTAGGTTCTCACTTGCTGAGGTGATGGGGCAAAACAAGTCGGAAGCGGGTGAAATTTCCCACACCGAATGTGATGCTTCCTGTTCGAAAGCTTGCCCAAGACAGCTTAGGTTCTCACTTGCTGAGTTGATAAGCCTGGCAAAAAGTCTGACTAATATTTGTTTACCACTAAACTTGTTTCTGAAAAATCGAGTTTTAAAGTGCAGGAACTCAAGAAGCGAGACTTGCGCGGCACCTACAAACCTCGAGGTTGGCCAGATGCTTGCCTTGCAGGAGAAGTCGTCGGAAATGCCAAAGCCCTTCTCGCACTCCGAGCACTGGTTGTCCGCGGTCCTCTCCTGAGATGCAGTCCGCCCAAATCCACCGAAGCCACGACCGAATAAGATCTACCTAGAGTCTCCATGACCCTATAAAAATGGGTCAATGACCCCATTGTTTTGGGTAATGACCCCACTTTTTAAGGGTCATGGAAACTCCAGGTACGGATCGTCCCATGCATCCAAGCTGATTGCCGATTGCTGGCGTCAAGTTTGAGGTGACCGGGTGAAAATCGCAGTCGCCAAACAAAACAGAGCGTCTCCTGAAGGCACCCAAACACACGAGCGCTCAGATGTTGCTTACATATTCCAACTCATCGTTAAGTCAGCGCAAAACATTCGCGGTTAGCATTGAACAAATGTGCCAAAGCATACCAAAGCATTTGGGGTACTGCGGAATGAAACCTCCACTGGGCTCTTTTCCCATCCTTTTGTCACCCATTCCCAAATCTCATCAACTTGCCAAGCGCTCCAACCAGCCTCGATTTCTTTATACTCTTCCCCCAAAAAAGACTCGTCCGTCCGGGGCTGGTGCAACTCATTCCCTGCGCGGACTGCGGACTTTGCGGAATTTCCCCACAGTGCCCGGTGAGTGGTGAGGGGCATGGGTGGCGCGGCAGTGCTTGCAGCCCTCGAGGCTCTCCACGTCGCAGGCGAAGGCTTCACAGAAGCCCTGCGAGCTCAGCTTGTAGCCCTCGTTGCCTCAGACGCTGAAACGGGCGCTGCTGGCAGGTCGCACTCAATGGCTGGTACCTAGAGTCTCCTTCTGACCGAATCAAAAATGGGTCAATGACCCCATTGTTTTGGGTAATGACCCCATTTTTGTTCAGGGTCATGGAGACTCCAGGTAAGCCATGGGAGTCCACTAGAAACAGTTAGAAGAAAATGCCGGCCTCGGATGGCCTTCGGGACTTCTCCAACAAAAACTGGACTCCGACCAACAGTTGATCAACTTCGCCGGCAGCTTTCCCATTCAAACCCCAAAGCTGATGACTTTACCAGTCTTGGAGGTTCCCAAAAGGGAAACGGAGGAAACCCCTGTGCGAGAAAGTGGGGGCTTCGATCAAAAAATAGGGTGACCTGGGGTGCTACAGACATTGTCGTCCGGCGCGAGCCGGACGGAACCCGTTTATTGGAACCATTCTTCCTGTGTCCGGGTCCCCTGAGAATGGGTGGGGATGTCGATGATCCTCATCCACAGGGTGGGGAAACAACTACAATCTCTGGTCTTGGCTTCCGTTTTACAAACAAGGCAGGCATCTGGCTTCGCATGTGGCGCAGCTACCCACGATACAAAACGCCATGACGAGCATAACTGAGCGTGACGCATGCATCGTACCTATCACTTCCTGAACCACCCTTCGTTAACTAAATTTCTGCCCTTAGCCCAAACGTATTGCAAAACCAGGGGTCGTCACCAAAATATGGTAAACGTACACTTTTTCCTGCTTCGAGCGTTTTTCCCAAAACCGGGCTGGTCGGTCCTCCAAGATGATCTTTCGTTGAATTTTCGAAAGGAGCGAGCAGAAATCGAAGTGCAAAACGAGCGCAAATATCCGCAAAACGAGCGCAAATATCCGCAAACGAGTGCAAATTTAAAAACCGTAACAATGCCCGCCTTCCTCTAGATGGAAGAAGGGGATTTGGTCGAGCGTTTTTCGGGGGGCGAGCGTTTTTTGGGGGGTCGAGCAGAAATCGGTAATTCGAGCGTTTTTTTCTCGTACCTAAAAAAAAGGGCACGTTGGGTGCCTCAGGTTGTAGATGAATACTAGTCCAGGGATTCTCGCCACAATATGCTTGCCGATTCCAGCGTGGGAAGAAACACGCATACTTGTATGTTACTCAACGTAAAACCATGATGCTAAACCAACTCGTCAGATCTCAGTTTTCCCAGTCAAGACATCAGTGAGATCCCTATGCGACTATCAACAGCTGCCACGTTCAGGCCGGCTTTCCATGACTTAGGTAAGACTTTCCCAGCTCGCACGGGTGCGTCGTGAAACGAGGACCCCCTTTTGATTTCGCTTCACAGCCCACAACACAAGCACCAACCCAAGGAAGACGAGACACCCACAGTGTCCTATCCCGAAATGGCCACCGAGGGCCAAGTGAACAAAGTCCAAGCGACCCGAAGTGACGTGAAGCCGGCGTGCAAGCCAAAAATTCCCAGTGCTTCCAGCCTGGTGCTCAGTAGACAATGAGGGAATGACCCCGACAAAAACCATCCCCTATGGCTTCCTTTAAACGAATCCCCACGTTCATTCCCTCATTCCCTACTGAGCACTAGCAAGATAGTAGCTCTAGTTTTACATCAGGATTTCCCCTGGTGACTGGAAGCACTTTGAATTATGCCCAAACAAAGATCTTATGAACATCCGACAAAGTCAGTTTGGCTTCTTGGAACACAATCCCACCTGGCCAGGACACATTCCAGGCACTGATCGTCTGCAGTTCTGGCCTGTCTCAGCACGAGGAAAAAACACAGCTGCATGATCATCACAACAACTCTTGCCCTCCCACCGACTAACATGCAAGTGCACAAACGACTCCTGTAGAAAGACTACTTTCCTCTTGGAAAGGGGTGTTGTCCACTTCCATGTTAGGTGGGAGGGTATCCCGTCAGGGAAGCAATTTTTGTGTTGCATATTGGTTGGCCACCGCTTGGTTGCCCGGTCAGTCCAGCTTCACCAGGCACCATGCTAAATACTCGGGTGTCCCCTCATATATTAGAGTGAATGATTCGTCCAACACGTGGCTCCAGGAGCGAATCATACACGGGTCACCAAACGGAGATTCACCAACCGGAGTTCCTCCAACATGTCGCCTGCCTTGGGCCTAAAAATAACCCAACAGTTAAACCGGTAAATGGATATCCCCCCTTTTACAGCCGCCCGCCCTTTGTTTTGTTGGCTGCGTTCTTCGCAAACTCTTCAGCCACGATTGAAATCGAGAGGTGGCGAAGCTGAGGGTGCCACATGCCAGCCGCAAAAGATTTGTAAGAAAGGACCCTCATCAGGGTGCAATCTTTCTGGCCGTTAACTGGGTCCTCTAGTGGAGAGGTTAGAATAAGGGTACCCTTTTTCCTGTAGTCTATCTATTTTAGTAGGGGAACCCTTCCCAAAAGAAGGGTAAAAGGGCACTAGTGGGAGACCTTGATGATGGTCAATGCCTTCGTGCAACACGAGCTGGTGCATCCTTTCTGGATGTGAAGACAATCATGGAACCCCTAATGGGCTGAAGGTCAATGCCTGCGTGCAACAATAAAACTCAAGCTGTGTCTGCCAGGGACCGTCTGGGGATTAAACAAAAACCAGCAAACCGGAACAAAAAGACTGCACCACCTACATCCACCCACGTCCAACCCACGCTCAACAATTCCAAACAATTCCACCCAACCATACCTCACAATGCATGCCAGCCAAATCACAGCTGGCCCAACAAAATCCAATTGGAGGTCAGTGTCAGATTGCCATCAAATTGGGTTCCTTGCTTTCTTAGTCACTATTGACCCCCTCTGCAACAAGTGTTTAAGTTGTTTGTGGGTTCTGTTCGGAAAACCCAGCGGATGTCCGCACATCCCCTGCTACAAGTTAGACTTTTAGTGGGTTATATAACTTGAAATATCCACTAAACCCACTAAAAAAACTGGAAAAACAGGAAAAACACCACGGGACCGGATGGATGGGAAGCCACTAAGTTAAGGTCGAAAGATATCCGTGACCCAGCTTCCATTTGCAAAATTGCCGCTGGAAAAAATGGAGAACATATGTCGGGTAGTCACAAACTCCCTTCAAAGCCAACGGAGGAAATAAGACAAACATCTTCAGCAAATGGAAACCTAGTTGGCTGTGCCTTTTTGAGGGTCACCCGTGTTTGGGGTTGGTTTCAAGGGAAGCAAAGGAAAACACCACATGTCTTTGGGTCCACACCCAGAAATCAGCAAGCCACTTGGGTTTGCGAATCTTTTTTCGGCCCTGCCTCGAGGTCCCTGCACACCTTGCAGGCTCTTCCAGGACCTGTGAAGCACTGGAAGGTATTCGCTTCCACCAGGCTCATCCGCGTCCTCGGCTCGGGGGCTCCGCGCGAAGAGGCCGACTTGGCCCGACTTGGCCCGCTTGAGGGCCATGGGTACCGGTGGGGAATTTTGGCAGAAAACAACTGGCTCACCAAGATGCGCGGGAAAAGCAACCAGCAAACCCTTCCATAGCCTCAAGAGTGATACTTTGATAGGTTTGCGGTGAAGGCTGCATGTCCGAAGGGCGGAATGACGACCAACTGACATGGTCATCACAACAAAGGTGACTCATAGGGGCTCGCTTGGGACCTGTGCTCCATCGGCTCTGGCGTTGGAGCAAGGACGCTTGCTGTGGCATGTTGGAAACTTGGCAGGAAGGAAACAATGTGTCGCCAACAACAAGTTGACACATAAGAAGCACAACAGCAATCAACAAAACAACTGGATCTGAAACTCACATCAACACAATGATACATAAAGCAGAAAGACACACGATACACCTCCAGGGACAAATGGGAAACAAGCAAGCACAGTAACACATACAACAAACGGAAGACTCAAACAAAGCATGTCAACGACAAAGAAACTAATCAACACAATGCTGTATAAGGAACATGTTTAACAGGAATCTGAAACACGAAACGCAGCGATACCTACAACAGAAACAAAACTGTGGGCGATTGGGAGACCAACAACACATACCACACTAACATCATTGTACACACAACATGCAGAAGCAAAACACATACGCACAAGGAAATTATCAAACAATCTCTATATGCATAAAACATGAAGACATGCAACACACACACACACACGATGATGCGTTGTGTACATGGAACAGCAACGCACGTCAGGGCATCAACCATTCCACACACATACTGCTACAACCAACATTATGCAATTCCCGTCAACATGATGCAACAAACACACAATCATGCATAAAGCAGAACAATAAAACACACTTCAATTCAAACAAGGACGACTCTAGAACAGCAATACACTACATACAACAAACGTACAACAAACACCATAGAGAAACATCCAACACCCAGCCAAACAACACAAATATGAAACAGGACCAACCAACCACAGTTGTACATCCATGACTACACCCAGCACAACTTCAAACATAAGACATGCAACATGAAATACAATTACACACATCCAAATAAACAGGCAGGTAGAACAACCACAATTAACAACGTACAACAGAAAGAAACGTAACACCACCCACCCACCGTACTCACTTCCTGAGTGGACTGCCCAAAACAAATATCACCGAACTTTTGGTTTGCCGCTAAAGTGGCAACCACGCCCAAAAAGTGACTCAAGTAGGAAACCGAACTCAGGGAGTGAGAATCTCGCTCCCTGAGTTCGGTTGAGATGGGGGGGTTCGCCGTTCTCATCTAAATGGGGGAGCTTCCCAGCTGCGCCGGGCGTCACTCGGCTTCGCAAGGAAGGCCTCGCTTCGGCGTGGGCCGCGGCGTCGGCTTCCGCATGAGGGGAAGGCGGAGGAGTCGTGAGGAGGGCCGCGTGCTCGCCGGAGAGGGCAAGGCCGGAGCCCTTCACGGTGACCTGAGTCACAACCGAAACCCAGTACAAAAAAACCTGAGCAATAAAAATAGAAACCAACAAAAAAAAAGAACAACAACAACAAATCAACCTGAGTCACAATTAAGACCCAGTACTAAAATCTGGGTGAATTGTATTAGTTCACCAGCCTGAAATAAGGTGGTTGGGGGGCCCACATAAACCACCATTTGGAGTGAGGTCGTGTGAGGTCGTTATAATTCACCCAGTCAAATGGTCGTAATCCCAGAACCATGCTTCAGGAATTAAGAAGGCGGCCATTTCCCCGGCTATGGCAAGTGGATGGTCCCTAACCTTCATCTACCCGGGTGTTTGTGGCTCAACATCCAAAGTTGGAGCCCGGAGCCTCGTGGTAGCCCGGTGGATTGGAGGTTCGGCTTCTACAAGATCCAGGGCTTCAACTCCCAGCCGCCAACTTAAGCCAGCATTTAGAGGGCATATGAGTCATCGCCAACACGGTTTTCGGGTTGGTACCGGAATACAGCGGAGGTGGGAAAGTCCAGCGCATTTGGGGGGGGGGACCCTACCCAAAAAAAGGGGTAAAAGGGCACTACTGGGGGACCTAGGTTTGAGCCGCACTCAGATTGAAAGGACCCCCCAAAGTTGCCCGGAGGCCTGCGACGCGAACTCGGAGCGCGAGACCAGGCCGTCTTGGTCCAGGTCCAGCTGTTGGAAGCCGGGCAGTGAGCGACCACGTCCAAGTTCATCCTTTCAGGGCATCTCAAGGCACAAAGTGAGTCAAGACCGTGGATGGTTGCGAAATCCATTTCGCACCACCTAAGAAACCCTGGAATGACACGATTCCCCTGAAAATACCAACAAACAATGGTGTCCCATGGCTCTCTGAAGTGGTGCCGGATTTCGTCCATCCACAGTAGGTTCATCTCTCGGGAATTTACCGAACATATTGTAACATACCCTCCTTCCACGATGGAAGTTGACAGGGAAATTCCCCGGGCAAGTAAAAGCCCAAACCGTCCAAGAAATATGTTGAGACATCATCCCCTTCAACCAAACCCAAGGCATCCGCAAATATTTCGGAACCCAGAGAAAAAAATGGGCCTTTGGCTGCTTCATCAAGAAGGGCCCTGCGTTGCGGATGGGGTACTTGGCCCCCTGATGGGGAAACCAAAGGCGAAAGGTTGACTCGCTTGGCTTTTGCGAGTCCTCCGAGAGGCCGTCGTCCTGGTCAAGGTCTAGCTCATCAAAGACCAGGTTGAGGTTTTCCCGGCTCTCGCCTTAGGGTGCTCGGTGTGCGACGTCCGGGTAACAAAAATCGACTGGACACAAAACAGTGCACTCAGTTTTTTTTTCTTTTTTTGTTTTTTTAAAATGTTCCTTTAAAAGGCGTTTTGGGGTTTTGGTACTTGGAGTTTTCTTGGCAAGTTAGCCCACCTGGGCTACAACCCACTAGCGACAGGTTTAGCTCCATTGAACGGGGAGAACCTACAGGCTTCAACCCAGATCAGCAACAACTATCTTCTTTCTGTTTGCCGAACACAGCTTTGCTTTGACGACCCACCCTCGGAACCCATGATCTTGTTGGACATACAGCTAAAAACAGGGGTTAGCCACCTGGGTAGCAACACACCAATGACGGAGTCAGCAACAACTTCGGGGAACCTACAATAGGTCCTCCAGTAGAGAGGTTAGAATAAGGGTACCCTTTCTCCTGTAGTCTATTTTAGTAGGGGAACCCTCCCCCAAAAAGGAAACGGTAAAAGTTGGCACCTAGCTGGGGGACCTAGTACAATAGGTTTCAATCCAATCCAAAAACATATCTCAGGACGGCCTCTCTCTGACTTGTGGCCTCCGAAAGCGGCTTCCTTCTCTGCAGTCTGAGAGGCTAAGCTTCCGGGCAGCCACGTGCAAGGCCAGCAACAGGACCAAGCCTTGACCGGAGATTCAAGCGATCTGATAGCCGCCATGTTCGGTTCCAAACAGGTGTCCATCATATGGTGTGTCCTTTTTCGAGGGAACCCTTTCTTGGTCTTTTTGGAAGGGAAACTAAAAGGAAAACCGAAGCCACTTATGTCTCTTAAAATAAACACACACTCATAGTATATGTCTCCAGTGTAACTTGCGCCAATGGACAAATTGGGGCACGCGGGGATATCCTCTTCACAAACACTTGGTAAACCCAAAAAGGGAGCACCAACCACTGTGGCCCCAAAGAAACCTAGAAACCTCCCAGGTGTAGCAAAAAAACAACCATGGCCAAAACTCAAAAAGGAGCTCTTAACCAAGGCATGTGGGCCAAGAGGAACCTCCAAGTAGCAAACTTTGAGTAGCCAAGGCCTTGGTGTACTTTGTCTTAGCCACATGCCGTCTCGCTAAGATAGCCTAAAAGCCGATCCATGGGCTTGCGTTGTCGCCTTTTTTTTTCTTCTCCGTTTTGGGTCGCAGCCGGTTGAAGGATTGATTCCCGAGACCCAAAGGAAACCACCCGTTTTGGGGTTCCCTTTGACATCTCCACAGCGCGTCACAGCGCGTCGGCAAAACATTTCTCGCCGGGAAAAGTCATGTACCTGGTATCGGAACATGTCCTACCTGGGTGTATGACCTGCGCCTTCGTTCAAGACTATCTTGTTGACAAATCAACTCATTGGGAATGCTCAAACAAAAACAAGTACAGCTCTCTTTTTGCGCTTGTCTTTTTTATGGTTGCGTGTTGTTGGCGTTTTGTTGGTGTGTTTTGCTTCTCCGAAAGGAACCAACCTCGTCATTGTTTCCGGGGACATGTTTACGAGAGCTCCATGCTCGGAAGGACCTTCCACTGCAGGCCCCTGGTTACTTGGTAGTTCCCATTAAACAAAATCCCTGCCACGAAGCAAATATGAACACAGGATAAATCACTTTTGAGAGGAACACCCACCTCGTACATCATCCGTCAGGAGTAATTTTCACTGTCCCAAACCTCCAATGATTTCTTAATGGGATACAAGGCACTTGCTGCTGGATGGTTGATTTTCATTTAAACCCCTTCCAACAGAAAAACACCTCGTTGCCCAACAGCAAGACCCCCCTTCCGGAACTCTGCGACAAACTTTTCCAGAGCCTAGCTGGGAGACTGACTTGAAAGCTTCACTCGATGCGTCACACATCGTCTTGGCCAAGTGTCGCTTCATTCAGTCAGGCGGGACGAACGCGCGCCTCCGCTTGAGCCGAAACCAGCCATCGCGCCAATGGGCTGGTGGCCAAAACCACACAACCTTTGCCAAGCAGTCGGTTTTGTTGAGAGCAGCCTGTTGGGGGTTCGAGGGGAGCAATGGGAAAGCCACCTATACATAATGTATCTATATATATATAGTTTGTTGTTGTTGTTTTTCTTTTTAGGGGGGTCTACTGTTTCAAAAACACCCGCAAGGTCGCCAAATTGCAAGACTAGCTGTGGGCATCATCTCTCTCTCCCTCCCTGTGTACCAGACTTACGTATTGGGCTACAAGGCACTCAGCGGTTTGTATTTGCTGTGACATCTCTGACACGGCTTTACCCCAGCAAAGAAAGCTTTGGACCTGTAGATAAGCGAAGCAAATCATCTCCCCCGTAACTAGTCGGATGAGCACTACTGAGGCTGCACGGTCTCTCAGAAATCTGTACGTATTCCAGATCCACAAGTGGCTGTGACGATATCCTGATTTGATTGCATCCTTCCTGCGGACTGTCCTGCACTGTTTAAGGATGAAACGGCATTCGTTTTGTTCGCTTCATTTTCAGTGGGGGGATCCAGCCAACTAAAAGGATCCCACTCTGTATTATATAGTCCTGCCGTTCCTCACTGTTGAGCATCGAAATAGACAAAAAGCCGACCGATCAAAGGGCCCTGCCACAGCGATACACGATTGCTGCCGGGAAGAATGGCAAATGCAAAACAACATGCCACGTATATATATATATATATACTTGTGCAACCTCAGGTTTTGCCTGGAGAACCAAACACCTGATGCTTGATGTTGGTGCATGCACATGTTGCGAAGCGTGAAGTGCAACATCATCTCCAAAAAGACTCCGGTGTCGTTCTTTGCTGAACGTGTTTAGAGCCACACTGAGCCAAGGGAGCAAAACCAGTTGGACGCGAGAATCCGATACGCGTTGGCTGGATGGATACTGTATCGCACGGCTCAAACATGACAAAAACACAACCTTGCCTCCCTGCCTCATGGACTCACTGCAGCCAGCAATCGGCAAGTCACGGCGTTGAAGACAATTATTTCACACTGCCCCGAGACTCACCTGGCTTTCGATTCCTACCGGCTGCGCAGGTTTTGTGAGTAAACAGCCCTGCAATACAAACATGTATGACAAATCAGTTAATTTTCTCCCGTCATGCCAGCACTTGTAAAACCATGCGGTTGCGCCCACGTGGACTTCTGGCGCTGCTTTTCCTCGCGACCACTCTCCCGTTGTGCTTGCTTACAGCCCGATCTTGCCACGGCGCCTCAGTCAGCAGCACGCAGGTTTGAAGTCCACTTAAAGCGAATGGCATCCAGCTGCAGGGTTCTACTGTTTGGCCACCCTAGGGTAGACTTAAACCCAGGAGTGGTTCATTCCCCCCAAAAGGAGACCCCCTGGGTTTAAGCCTATCTTAAGGTAGTCAAAAAGTGGAACTCTGTCCAGCTGAAACAAGGAAGGTTCCGTGAGTGTCAGTGCGGCGCAAAACAAAGGGCCTGCGGGCCTTTGTGAGTCCGTGCCCAAAAGCGCCCAGCTTGCAAACAGGGCTGAAGGAACAATCCAGGACCCGAAGGCCTGCTACTCTTCATAGCTTGGATAGAGCTAGGTTTTTCTTCAATTCGCTCAAGTCCAGAAGTTGCCTCAAAATTCTAGTCCCGGGACAGGCAGTCGAATTTACGGAACCTCATCTCATATACCAACGTTGGGTTTGTAACCGCTGCCATCTTTTCAGCGCATCCCCGGCGCCACAGGCGCCACGTCTGATTCATTTGAGGCCATGACCAGTGACGGCGGAACTTGTTGTATCCTCAGCCAGGCAGCGTCCAGAGTGGATGGCCACTCCAACGGTTTTCCCCAAACACAGGAAGTGCAGGAATTCTGGAAGTGAGGATCGGGTTGGGCCAACCCTGGTGTGAACATCATGAATCCACATTGTCTCGAACATCTGGTTCATGGCACTTGACGTATTGGCCTTGTAGAGCCACTCGCATTGTCCCATGCCCTCGATACTCCACAAGCCTCGTGTTCGTGATTGGGGGTATAAGCGTCATGGGCAACTTCTGGCTTGCACTGTGCAAATGGCTTGCAGCACAAATGTTGTACTTTGCAAACCATCATTTTTGTTTGCCTAAGTCTACTGGAAAACACAAAACATATTTCCAACAGGGAAAATAATAATAACTATCATTATAGTAATATCAACAATAATCATAAAAATCTTAAGCAAATGCAAGATCTAGATTCAGGATTCACAGCTGCCTGCAGCATGGAAGCCTCCAATGCAGGCAGAGTGCTCATTTGCCTCGTTGGACTTTGTGCCAGGCATCCCTGTCAGCTCCATTTGGCAGGTTTCATAAGCTCAAGGCTCCGAAAATGTCCCTACTGTGGATGGACGAAATCCATTTCGCACCACTTTGAAACCATGAAAACCAGTGTTTGCTGGTATTTTCAGGGGAATCATCAGCAACCAGGGTTTCTTAGGTGGTGCAGGATTTTGTCCATCCACAGTATTTCTCGCGCCCGGATCTAGACAACAACCATTTTTATCGGGGTGAAGGGAGTTACCGAAACATGAGGCCGGTGCATTTCCATAGCCACAAGTCCCACATGCTAGACTTTCCGGGGAACCTCCGAACAAGGGAATTGATGGTAGACTTTCCGGGGAACCTCCGAACAAAGGAACTGAACTCCGCCAATGGTCTGGAAAAGAGAATCCTTTCCTTGGCTTTGAGAAATCATCCGTCTGTGCCGCTGGACAGGGCAGAATGCCTTGAGAAGTTGCAACCAAAAGTCATGTACCCCTTAAAGCGTCACCTGAATGTGTGTGGCTCTTTAAGGGGTAGCCTTTGGGTGATTTTAAGGGACGCTAAAACGACTTATGACCTTTAGGGGTCCCTCTAATTTGACACAGACAGCAATTGCCCGCATCATGTCGCCAAGAAGAAACAATGTCAAAACGGAACCGCCCGAGTACAACTCCGCTCCCGAAATTGGGGTAAGAGAAAACACATTGTTCGGAGCCGCTTTCACCCCGCAGCCACTAACCATATATACGTCTAAAGTAGCCTGGAGAACCCAGAACTGTCCAAGGTCCCAGCGAATCTTGGTGCCAGTCTTGAGACGGAACCACTGCCTCGAATGGAATTGCGCCGCAACATCTGGGGATAAATGGGGTCTCAAATATTATAACCATGCTTTCCAGTGATCCTTCTGTCCAGAAAATCCAAACAAACAAAAACATCGCAAGCAAGGGGAAAACTGGTGGGACAAAATAACAACGATTGAAATCCCTAACATTGTGGGGAAACCGTCAAACAAGCTGGCTGCTACTTGGCGTTCCTTCATCGTCCAGGGTGCGAAATCAAGATATGAAACGTGTCGAGAAAAGGCATCAGCTTGAGCTAAATCTGAGGTCTGTGCCTCTCTTTTTGCTCCGTGGAATAAAAATCACAACTCCATGACCGACGGATACCCACAACAAGTCGGCAAGGCTTCAGTCCTGGAACTGACAGAACCAGGCTTCTGCATTCAACGTGTGCTTACTTAAAAGGAATCAAGCTCGGTTGCCCCTTATGGATCAAGAAAATAACAGCTCCTTTTGGGGCCATGCCTGAAATGGTTACCAAATCAGTCCACTGGTTAGGTCGCTGCGCTTGGGGCTCCACTTTCAGCTGGCTGGACTTGGCGATTCCCCGGCCCAAACGCGCACAAACCCAGGACCCCCGGCGGCAAGGGTCGATTCCTGAGGCGCACGTGAGTTGAAGTGCCATGGTTCTGTGTGGCACCCTGACATCAGACAACATTGAGGAGTCAGGTCGCTACTTCTTTTTTTTTGCGGAGGTCGCCGCATGAAGATAGTACCCATAGAATTTGCTTCGGGCCACTCAGTCTTGGGAGCTTGCTGCTTAACAGTCCTCTCAGTCTCCGACGGCATTCCCTCCATGTAAGTAACCTGTGAGTAATGGTAAGACACGATGAATCTGGGTGAATTGTAATGTTTCACCAACCTGAAACTTGCGGTGGTTGGGCTATTCCCCAAATAAACAACACCACTTGGGGTGAATTCGGTCCTGAGGTCGTTACAATTCACCCTGATTGAAGCACCGATGCCGCTTGCCGCTTGCCGAACTGGGTACCTGGTACAGGGGGCCCAGAAGGTTTGCCCACCCAAATCCCCGCGAGAGGAAAAAAGAGCACGGTCCACTTAGCCCGACATCCAAAGGTTCAGCTGAGAATACCGGAAGCTCTGGCAAGACTCATTCCCTTAAGGCGGGTCAAAGATTGGGAAACACACCAACCAATAGCCGGAAACTGGAAACCGGCAAAGCTTTTCCTCTGCACTCTCCCGCTGGGAGTTTAAATGAAGCCAACTGCCGGATTGGATTTGGGTCCAAGCAACTATCAATTTGGGCATGTGTCAAAATGGGGAGAAAAAAAGGGGGGGACCCAGAAACGGTGGGAAGTCAGTTCAATTATTGGCTTCTTCTTCTGCTTTTGTCTGTTCGACCGAAAGCTGAAAAGGGTACCCTCAACAAAAACACACTCTTTTTTAAGCGAAAGCTAAAAAGGGTAGCCTCAACAAAAAAACACACATACACACACACACACACACACACATTTCTATATTCAGAGACAGTCTCCTCACAAAGGAATCAAATCCACCGGTGACCCGCGCCCACGAAAAGAAAAAAGGCTGAGCTCTTGGCTGCTTGATCTTCTTCGCGAGCTTCATCTTCAAGGTGAAGGTCTTCACCTGAACTGAGTCACAATCAAAACCCCGTATCAAGATGGTCTACCCAGAACCATTCCCAGCCTGAAATAAGGTAGTTGGGGGAGCCATTCGCCACATAAACCACCATTTGGGGTGAATTCGGTCCTGTGAGGTCGTTATAGGTCACCCAGTAAAATGGTCAAATCCCAGAACCATGCTTCAATAAATTAAGCAGGCGGATATCCGCAGCTATATCTGGCCGGGCATGCCC